AAACAACTGGAGCACCATTTGAACACCATTGGCATTGACCAATTCGCTATTAGTCAATTGCAAAAGGCGGCCTTACTAGGAACTGCTTCCATCCTGCGACAATATCTGTAATACCATCAAACATCCACATCTGCCTATCCCAGGTCCTGGGTAAGGACTCGATAGGTAGACAAAATGCTAAATCCAGTCTGAACATCTGGCTGACTGTGCGATGATCCAAAATAATAAAAAGCAAAAATGGTTTTTTTTTCTCCTAATGTAAAACTTCTTAAATCCTCTAGATCAGGGATAGGCAACTTCGGCTCTTTTATGACTCGTGGACTTCAACTCCCAATTCTGGGAGTTGAAGTCCACGAGTCATAAAAGAGCCGAGGTTGCCTACCCCTGCTCTAGATGGTGTATCTATCTTCTTTCAGTATCAAGATCATGTAGAAACATTTAAAGAACAAGAAAGACACAATTTTCTGGAAAGAAAAGATGGATGGCAGACTTGTGATGACAGCTGACAAGAATGCTTTTCAATATTTCTCGTGGGGCTGATAGAATTTGCGACTTTTAATGGGGAAGGATGAACTGTTCTGCTTTAGCCAAGTGACAAGTTCAACTTCTTGCTGCATTTATTAAAACGAAGAGTTAAGCTGGGATTGTGATTAGACACAAGAGTGTCCCTCATCTGTTGTGACCCTGACCAATAAAAGTAGCCTGAAGGTAGAAAACTGAGGGATTTTGGAAGGGAGAAGGAAGAAACGAGTCAGTAACTCAGCAAGGAGGAAAACTGACATTTAAAATGACCTTCCAGTTCCATAATTTTATTATTCTATTCTTTTAGCAATCTGTACACACATGTCACAGCTTTTATTACAATCTTTTCTGACTGCCAGGCAACTGTCTGGGCAAACCCATGCAGTTTTCTTGGCAAGATTTTCAGAAATTTGTCATTGCCTCCTTCCTATGGCTACTCACCTCGGCTGGCTTTATGCCTAAAGTGGGACTAGAATTCGTAGTCTCCCATTTTCTACCCTGGTGCTTTAATCACTAGACAAAACTGGCTTTCTCTCTTTCAAATGACAAGATCAAATTCTTGTATACATCTGTAATTCTGTTCGTTTTTCTACAGATTTACAATTCACAGTTTCCAAAGATGGAGCAACATATACATTTAGGGAACAAGCAAACAAATATTTCTTAAGGTTATTAAGAGGCTGTTTGTGAAATTAAAGCAGTTTATTTAAAAACATCTTGTTTAAAATTGAAAATACAATTGCAGCTTTAAAAACATTTTAAAAAGTATTATTAAACTTGAAAAAAGATCAGTAACGCTATGTCTTGTGGAATGATAGGATTAGTGTCGTCAACCATCAAAGTTTTTTCTTCATTTCTAAATGCATATTTGATACCAAATATTCAAAACGATGAATGCTTTTATTTTGGAAGTGGTTACCTCTACAGGAATGATTGCATAAACAGTACAGTTCTACTTAAGGAATAACTAAAGCATAGTAAACCATTTTTAAACAATGCAAATCTTTGACCGGGAAGTTTTAATATTCAATATGGGAGAGGTATATTTATTTAAATTTATTTTAAAAGATTTGTCCACTGAATTTGTATTTATGATTTATACAATACCATCCCTTAAGTAAGCTCAGAAGAGAAACAAACAAATAAATCAATATAGAGTTTTGGTCTATATAGCATCTTACCCACTAACCAAGTTAAAGTGACTAGGGAAAAGCAAAAGTGAAGTAGCGGAACAGCTCTCTGGTAGCAACTAAAAGCTGCAGAATAAAAAAGATAGTAATGTCAAAGTGTTTTCCTTTTCGTTCACAATCCTCTTTTCCTTCTATGAATCTGTTTTGCTTGTAAAATCAAGGGATGATACATTTTTTTTAATTATAGCATATTAAAACAGCACAGACATTTCATACTTTGCCTAAAAAGTCATGCATTCTATAGATTTCCTAGGCATTCTATACAATGCCAGTTTTTCACATGTTACCAGGAATAGATACATATGGATATTAAAATGTTAACATCTTAGTATTTTTTTTTCTTTTAGCTGTGGCATGACAGCCTTGGTTGTAATTTGAATAGGATCTAAATATTTACATTGATATATTTGTTACTTCAAAAATTATTGTTATATATCTGTTAATTTAAATGCTATAAATGTAATGTTGAGCTTTAATCCTTTAGTTATTTAAAATGCTTTGGTAATTTTTTGAAACACAAGGATGCATTAGCATCTTTGTCAGGCCAATGGTCTCATAGTCAGACTGATCAAATAGGAGTTTGGCCCTAAAGTATAATATGACAGCAAACTAAATGCTTGAGGTTAAATTAAATGATTTATTCAACCCTTCTCTTATAATACAGTCCCTCCCCCCTTATAATTCCCTAAATTGGACAAAGAATATATAGAAAATCTGATCTTAGTTTTTTTCCACTTTAGGCAGGGGTGCAATTAGATAGTTTGTTTTTCAGAAAAATAGTTAGAAAGAAATCAAATAAACAAATAGAGACAGGGTGAAAGCAATATTTTAATTAATTAAAATTATTTTAGTTTAATTTTACCCAATTTCCATAATCAGTTATGATAATTATGATTACTTTCCACTCATGTGATATTTTCTGCTTTCAGTCATAATATAACGCAATTGATTGGCAATATTTGTAGGGCCCTTGATGGCTTTGACGGACATATGTGTATATGTATATGTATACATATACGTATATGTATATGACCTTGGGATCATATACATTATATACATTCCTGATTTAAGCAATTCCTACCTCCTATTTGGAGAGTATACAGATGCTAAATTAAAACAGATGGGATAAATATTTCTTTTGACTTCAGTGGAAATTTTCATCTACAGTTGGTGCAAGCAGCAAATTCCTTACTACATGCCTAAGTCTGTTGTCTTGAGTAGGTCCCTTGTTTGGTTCTGTGCACCTGTGATCTCTTGATGTCATCCCTGGTTGAAAACTAAGCCAACTTATTTACACTTTTATCTGTGCTGCATTTGAAGCCACTGAAAAACTAGTTTATTTCTGAGATGCTGCACATTTTGAAGCATGTAATCATGCTGTTTTCCTACTTGTGAAAAATAATATTTCACTGTCTATCTTCTGGGCTGCAACCATTTAAAGCAGATCTTTCAGAAGGAAATGTGGCTGGATGACTTTTCAGCTACTTCTCCAATCTTAGGATTTTTTTTTTTTTTTGGCAGACAATCAGACCAATCAACTTCCACCCAAACTCCAAACAAGCTGCAGTTAATTTATTTTAGTTCTGATTAACATGAGAGGGGTGAGTATTTTTATAGTTATTGTGGAATTTTAGGGTAAACCAATAATTTTTCCTTCTTTATTTCAATATTTCTATGTTGGCAGAAATTAAGATGATTGTAGACTGTCTTCAACTATTCTAGCAATTATAGCATTATGGAAGGAATCTCATTATGGAAGGAATCTCATTATGAAGAATAAATCAATCATTGCGCTGTACTATATAAACCATATGTATTTTTTTTACTTTATGCAGGTGTCCAGTCTGCAGGCTGAGAGTCAAAAGTGTGATGGAGAGAATTTGTATACAAACCTTGCTGCCAATTTGCCTATTTTCTTCTAAAAGCTTTTGCTTCTTTATGAACTTTGGTGCTGGAAAAGACTCCTGACAATATCATGAACATCCAAGAAAGCAAACAAATTTTTCATCAAACAATCAACCCAGAATTCTCATTTAAAGCACCAAAGAACAGGCTCAAATTATCTTACTTCAGGCACATTACATGAAGATTTTGCTTTCTGGAGAAGACTCTGATTTTACGAAATGTGTCAGGAAAGAGAGGAGGATGACCAGGAACAGGAGGGAGGACTCAGTTACAATGATGATGAATGCACCATTGGAAGGTCTGAATGACCAGACTAAGAAAATATTGTCACAGAGTAAATGTACTGTTGACAATAATTTGATAGAACTTCAACAAAATCAACTTGTAATACAAAGATTTCTTTGAACTTTATAATTGTTTGGATGGATTTGGTTTCATAATCATGTATAATTTAAGGTGACCAACCATCCTCCTTTAGGGAGAACAGTCGTCCTTTTTTAAGTTCTGTCCTCCCTCGAAAAGTGTCCTCCTACATGTCCTCCTTTTCGATATTTGAAGACTAATCTGAGGGGCTTTATTTTTCTCATAGAACGCTCAGAACGGCATTCCGGCACCTTTTTTTGATCTTTTTTTTAACTTTTGCATGAGCTGTGCTACTCCCCCTATTGGCTTTCGAAAGCCAATAGGAATTGCTGCTGAGTGCGCCAAAACACCGGGACAGCAAAATTTGCACATGTAAGTTGTCTGCAGCGAAGGTGAATTGGCAGGAACTTTGCACCCCTCTCTGCTACCCAACTACACTATCTCCTAGTTAGTCCCAAAGATACCTGGAGGAGACTGCAGCGGCTACACCATGGTAACTTTCTCTTGATCTTCGGCCCTGCTAGGGCAATAATGGCTGCAGGCGCAAGAGGCAGGGGCAGCGGGGCTGCTGCAGGTGGGGGTGTGAGGGGTGGCGGTGGTTGGCTGCCCACCGTGCTGTGGGAGCCATGGGAGCTGCTCTATATGGGCCTGTGCAGGGTGGGCGGTGGTGCTGGTGGTGGCTGCAGGCAGGGTATGTCAATGGTGGGCTGGCCCCTTGGGGCTGGAGCTGGCATAGCTGGTGCTTTGAAAGCCGTGAGGCCCGCTCTACACGTCGGGGCAGCAGTGCTGGTGGGGCAGTTGCGGGCCGGGGCATGGCATGTAAGCATAATTACAATATAAAATGTTATTGTTACAAATGTTTTTATTATGCATTTATCATATTATAGTGTATTATGTATTATTGTTGCAATGAATAAAATGTTTCTTTTATTTACGATATTTTTTCTTCAATTTATTTGTGTCCTCTTTTTCATTGTAAAAAAGTAGGTCACCTTAATAATTAAATATTTTGCTATATACCTGTTCAGAGTGGTTGGAACTAAGGCTGTCAGATCTGAGCAGCAAAATCCAGATGACCATTACATGGCAGATGTAGATAAGATACAGAAAACTCCAGCTCTTCATTATTCTCTGCTAATTGTTAAGTGTGGCAGGCCAGATCTGGTAGTCATAGTGGGAACAGCTGTGTTTAGGAAACAAACCAAGAAATAAATAAGGGTTAATTTCTCTCAAAATGTTAAAATACAATATCGTATGCAGGGTGTAGCTATTCTTCCCATTTGTCTAAAAATATATATTGGGTTTCTGATATACACATAAGTAAAATTACTACCATGCTGTGTTCTCAAGCCTCAATCTGATTAGCTTTATTGTTGCAGGCTTTAAAAAAAACTATTTCTAGTTTTTTTAAAAAAAGTCTGTTGAGCCTTTAAACTTCAGTATCATGTAAAGTTTGCTAAATTCTTAACTCATTGGCTTTAGGACCCATGACACCTATTCCTTGCATTTACTTGTAATTGGTGCACCAATGTGAGATTCTTTGCATAGTCCAAGCTACTTAGAGCTTCAGCATTTCTTCTCACTGGGAAGGGGTGGAACATGTTCTGGATCATTAAAAAAAAAGACATAAGTGATATCGGCACCAAGCATCACCCACTTTTATATGATGTGTTTGAACTTGGCTTTGATCAAACACTAAAATGTACATACTATAAAATCATTTGCAGATCCGGCATAGCAAAGCTATTGAAGGTGTGACTCCCTTTCGGCAAACAAAACAACAAAAGTTTTAACAGAAGGGCATGAGGATATTATTTCAATTGAAAAGAGCAAAATCCACTAACACAGTAAGTATGAATCATACTTCAAAGAGAGAACAGGTTAGCAATAACGTTGCTATGCAAAGCTCTGAATATCTTTCATTTTGATTGATCTTTGGTTCTGTAACAATGGGCATGAACTTCTCTTTACTGCTCTGTGCTATGCATGTTTTACCATGTGAAAATGAATATTTGTTTGAAAAAAATGGAAATTGAATCCAGTCGGTCTCTTTAATTTAACTACACAGTTACTCAGAATCAAAGTTTGAAAGAATAAATACCTCCAGGAATGGTGGCCCTTTTGGCATTCCTGTTTGTGTTGCTTTCATTCCACTGAAACGTACTGAACTTTCTTTCTCTATGAATCTTATTTCACAGCCATTTCTGTTAGCTGCCACATTCTTTATCCACAGATTTCAAAGTAACACTGCATTATTCAAGATCAGGGATGCAAAAGCTGATATCAAGGCTTCACCCCTTGAAGGCTGTAGGAACAGTTCCTGCAGTCTTTTCAGAAGTTTCCACCAAATTCAGATGTTGATTTGCAAAAAGGAATGGAGTCATTTAAATTATTTATTTGGTGGAGATAACCTCTTTATTGGAGGTTCCTGAAGTATCTATAATCATGATGAATGGAAAACAATGCCATATTTTTCTCTCCCTTTTGAAGTACGGAAAACAAAAACCCTGTATTATTAGATAAGATAACCTTTATTGTCATTTTTTACTGTGGTCACATTGGCACACATTAAAAATGAAATTTTGTTGCTTTGCTCTCAAAATTGTACACATACATAATAAACATTTAGACATGCAATATACAGCATATGTATAAACCTACATCCTTACATATAAATAACATAGAAAAAATAATCATTGTCCATCTTGAATATATTTTAAGATAGCTTAACACTGTCTAAAAAGTAGCAACGAAGAAATCCCACACATTTTCCAGAAACCTCCCCTCCCTACTCCATTTTTGTGATCCCACCCATCACCCTACTTACTTTGGGCATAGTGACCCCTTGCAAAAATGTTGATTTCCATTCAGCCAAATGTTGCCTATTTATAGTGTCATGTAGGAATGACCAGAGGATGCAGAGGGAAGAACCTAAAACCAAGGGAACATTCAGATTAGAGGCATCTTAGACCACAGGAGGAATGTGGATGAGCAAATATCTCAGAAGGGTCATTCCTATTTTTGTAAAGACGATAAGGGAGAAATGTATTGTTAGGATTTCAACATTCTGTTACGTAACCTTACAGAAAGCAGAATTGGTTCATCTGGGTGTGCTTCCTATCTGGACTATTTCACAAGGCTGACACTCTTTGTTTTCAGATGCCTTAGAAAAATGGCAAGCACTGGAAAAGGAAGTGATTATTACTGAATTAGACCATAGATGCGCAAATGAATAGGATAATTTAAATGCGTAAATAACACTCCTTGATTTTAGTGTTGGTTTTATGGGAACAATTCCAAACCTGACAGAATATTAACAAATAGATATATCTATTCAAATGCATTTCTGAAAATTGTTTCCTGCTATTTTTGGATATGGTGAAATAGTGCATAAGATGATGTGAGCAGTTTTAAGGATGCTACAGTAGTTGTTGGAATTGCTAAAGGAACAGGATAGAAAAACTACCTTTGAATTTTATTTATTAAATTTATATGCCATCCATACTACTTCAAGGATGACTTTTTGTCACTTCTCAAGCAAATTTTTCATGTTGGAAAAGACTCCTTAGAATATTGTGGATAGCCAAGAAAATGAACAAACTGATGATCAAACAAATAACCAAATGTTCTTACTCAAGGCACAAATAACCAGGTTTACATTATATTTCAGACAAATCATGTAAAAATCTAGTACTCCTGAATCTATAATGCTGCAAAAGCTAGAAAGAAAGAGAAGAAGATGAACAGGAACATGGTGATTGGACTCAGTTAGAAAGGTGATGAGCATAGCATAACATTGGGAATAGATCTTCCTGGAGAAAACTCTATCTTTGTGGTTACTAAGTGTTAATATTAATTTGATTTCAATTCATTTAATTAGTGGTGATTGCTATTTTGTTTTGAATTTTATAGTAATTCATGAGCACTGAAGATATAAAGAAAGTCCCAATTTTTATTTTCAGTGTGTGAATATCTAGTGTAAGCAGTAGATCTTTATTTTGAGGATGAATCTCCCAGTAGTATGCCTGATGGGTTTATTGATTAGTTGTATATGAGAACTAAAGGCCAACATAATTGGATAGTATCAGTTGGAGATGATAGTTCTAGGACATTGACTCTTGGCAAGCTCCATTGTGCTGATTCCCAATTAATGTTCTGTGTTCTGAAAACATCACGTTTCTATTTAAGTATTAAGTTAATGGATATATGTAGCTGGAGAATTACTAGGATCAACCCTCCATAATTAGGCTATTGGGACCAAATGCTTGTTTATTTTGGGGATTCTAAGTACCCTTGACTTACGATTATCTAAGCCTGCTGGAACAGAGGCTTTGAAAAATTGCTTACCACTTCCTCTGAGTAATTGGTTCCACTGTTGAACTGATCTTACTGTTAGAAAATTGCTCCCTCTTCCCCCACCCTCCAGCATTCATTCTTCAGAAACTGCCAAATGAATATCTTTCAACATTCTACTTACTGTTTGTTGATTTCATTTGCCAATTGAGGCTTAGCTCATAAATAGTTGTTCTCTCTTTGGTCCAGGGAAGTAGGAACTTGTGTATCCTCAACCCCAACTCCCAACATCCATAGCTATTCATAATGTTGGTTGGAGGTGTTGGGAATTATAATTCAGCAAGCTCTGAAAGACGTCAGGTTCCCCCTATCCTATTCCATTCTTGGTTATACTGCTGGCAGAGGGGGTGTGGAGAGCTCTTCTTATCCATGACATGGAAGAGAAGTATCAGGTGCCAATTTTTATTTCTGACATCTATTGTTTTTATGATAGGAAACTGGGAGTGAGACTGCAATAGTAACTTGCACTGTGACGTGCTGTGTTCTATTCAAGACATTGGCTTGAACCTATTCACTTTCCTGTGTTTTGTTTTCTCACTTCTAGCAATCAATATGCTAAGGGTGACATACTGCAGTAATTTTAGTTGATTTTTTAAAAATATTTCTGCCATTCTTCTGTTTTTGTGTAGCATACTTTTTTTTAGAATTTTACTGCTATTTGCATAGCTGAGTGTGATTCCTTTCTATTATTTTACTTTTCAATCAAACCCACTGATGAAGTCAGACAAAACAGAAAGAAAGAAAGAAAGAAAGAAAGAAAGAAAGAAAGAAAGAAAAAGAAAGAAAGAAAGAAAGAAAGAAAGAAAGAAAGACTTCAAAATCCCTTATAGAGATACATAGATGATGAAGTAATAGAAAATATTTGTAGCTTGGGTTTTAGATTTTGGCTGTGGTTTGTTCTCCAAGCTTGTTTCAATATAATTTCTGAATATTTTGTTACCAAACTAGGTAACATCATCAGCAGAATTTTCTTGACCTGTTCTCCTTAGCTTATAAATGTCTTGTGTGGTCATTTGGTCAGCTAAGCAGAATAGGACAAGAAAATCCTGCTGATAATGTTGCCTAGTTTGATAATGAAACATTCAGAAATGGCTTGGAGAGCCAACCATAGACAAAATATATAGACGATACCTTATGATTTCCATAAACATAAATTGGCTTACAGCTACAATCTTACCATCTCACATTTGCAATCTCTCATTGCACGGATCTCCACATTCTGGAGATCATTAATGGACAAGAAAAATAGCTTCCATTATATATTAATTACAAAGAAAAATGTATTAAGATTTATGGTGAAAATATTGCAAACATGTTTGTGAAAGTTTGCAAATTTATTTAATGATGTGCTTCCCAACCCGGGTAAATTACCCAAAACTAGGCAAAAGTGTTTTTTCTTTGGATACAACACATACTGTAAATTCTTTACACATTCACAGCTGGAACTTTAAAGGAAAGTCCTTTAAAGAAGGACTTTCTGATAAGCAGTTTTGTATAATGAAGGAAAAAGTTTCTGAAGCACTGGCTTAATGGCTGTCCAGATTTTTGCAGCATTTTATTTTTGACAGAACTGGCTCACAAAGGTTTTGGCTGTGCTGAACAAGATTGCAACTTGCCCCCGTATGACAGTACTAAAAGATAACAAATAACTGAACATGGTGAATTGTCACATTCTTGACATTTTTATATACAGTGCTAGCAACAAAGGAGCCCGAATGACAAGAACAAAGTTGCAAGTGTCCTCCATTCAGTATTATCTTTACAGCTGTAGTAGGCATGATGAACAGAATGTGTAAAATTGAAAGCAATTATGAATATAGTTGCCGACTTTGGACTTAATGCCTGAGGCAAAGAATGCACAAAGCAAAGTCAATAATACAGTGTCTCCCTCCCTCCTGCCAGATAAGGATGCAATTTTGTTCAGTTGCATTTGAGCACATTTTATCTTTGTCATTGAAGGCTCTGTGGCTTGTCTGTAACAAATCTGTGTTGATTTCAGACACAAATTTATTTCCTAATAATTAGGAGATAAATAATTGGACATTAACATTTGGCAAGGTCACAGGTTGCTAAAGGTTCTGGGAGAACATAATTGAAATAGATCAGTTCCTCAGTTTGCTGTCTTCCAGATGCATTGGATCCAGCTACTATCAGGCCCAACTAACATCAGAGGACAGTTTGATTCAGTATTAGCTACTTTCAACTATTTCAATACACTAATCAGGGCAATACATTGTTTTTAAAAGTTCTTGCCATTTTTCCCTCTCCCAATTCTTAGCAACCATTCCAAGGTGAATTACTGAGAACAAGAACTAGAAATCACATTCCAGGCCAAACTGTCATGGTTCCTGTGATAACAAAGAATTCCTCATTCTAGGGGTGTCTGCAGAGTTGGGGGAAAAGATCAAGATGGCAGCCATGCTGTACATTAAAAGGGGTGGAAGAGCTGCCATCTTGATTTTTTACAAACTCTCCTGCAGATACCCACCATAGTTCTCCAAATCATCTTGTCAATTAGAGAAGTTTTTGCTAAGCAGATAATTGGACTGTACTTGCCTGGTGCTGCCCCTATTGTAAGAGCAGATAGGTTTTGCCAGAAGTGAGCTAATCTTAAATTTATCACCTTGCATTATGTTGTTAAACTCTTGGACAATGAATGAGTGCAGACCAGATATTTCAACCAAAAGCAATGCAGTTAATCTTCACCTGATGCTGACAAGTCTTTCTCTTCCTTGTCCTTTTATTCACCATTTTTGCTGTTATTACAAGTTCTTTCATTGCAGTTTCTTTTTTATTCTTTTCCACTTCCTTTATCCAATCTATAATCTTGTGGTATTTGGGGGGGGGGGGTTTGTCTCAAAGCTGTACTGAGAACTGAATTGTTTCTTCTTTGTTAGGTGTTGCAGTTTGTTAGTTCATTGCAGTCTGTCCATTGATGAATTGATAGAAACATTTGATAGAAACATTTGTAATTCAACTTAAATTAGAGATTCTGTCCATAGTTTCCAGTTTGAGCTTCATATCTGTTGATTTTCCTGGCTACAGCTGTTATTTGCTGTTGTATGATTTCCAGTGCTTTCTTGTATTCCTTGTTTCTAGGTGATATTTCTTGATCAGGTATTCTTTGGTCTTGTTCATCTTCTTTTTTAAATTGTTCTAGCTTGTTTACATTTGATCTGATCTTACATCTTTATAATGGCATATTCTGGTGGTTTAGGAGAAGTGAATTCCATTTTGATTTCATTTCTGTACCATTGATAGTAAATAATCAAGGAAAATCAGGAGAGAGCAATTTTTTGGATTAGCTAATTTAGTGTTTCATATTTGTTACTATATTTCATATTAGTTTTTTAAAATTTATCAGTGCTAACAATCTTAACCTCTTTCCTATCTAATATTCACTAATCATCTGTATTAGTTTCTCCTAACACTTTAGGAGATCTTCCAAAATGGGTCCTTACATCTTCAGATATAATGCACAGAAAAAACAGCTGTCTTTTATCTACCACATGAGGTCCCCAAAACAGTGCAATGCCTGAATTGCACTGAGTTGTCTTTATATAAAATTAAACTGTTAC